CATTTTAGATAAGTTTAAAATAAATTAAAAAGCAACCAGTCACAGCGAGTAAAAGCTAGATTTGCATAGCGCCTTGAAAATATATCCATTTTGTTGTCTACAAGTTTTTTTTCCTCCTAAAGTGTTGTTATGGCAATGGTCTGTTTGAAGTTCTGCAGTATTGTCAGTGGGCTGAGCAAGGCATCAGACTGCACAGAAGTACTGTGTCTACTTTGTTTGCTTCCTAGACAAACTGCAGCAAGGTAGCTTCCATAGTAATATAAAAGAGATAATAATAATAATAATAATAAATTTTATTTATATCCCGCCCTCCCCAGCCAAAGCCAGGCTCAGGGCGGCTAACAACAAACAAATAATCAAACAATCAAATAATCAACATTCTAAAACATTTCATTATAAAATTAATTAAAATCAAATTAATGGCAACCGTTAAGCAAAGTTCTGTGCAGGTTGCCGGAGGTGGGAGTCAGGCTGGGCCCTGACCAAAGGCCTGGTGGAACAACTCTGTCTTGCAGGCCCTGCGGAAAGATGTCAGGTCCCGCAGGGCCCTAGTCTCTTGTGACAGAGCGTTCCACCAGATTGGAGCCGCAGCCGAGAAAGCCCTGGCTCTAGTTGAGGCCAGCCTAACCTCTCTGAGGCCTGGGACCTTCAGGATGTTTTTATTTGCAGACCGTAGGTTCCTCTGTGGGGCATACCAGGAGAGGCGGTCCCGTAGGTACGAGGGTCCTAGGCCGTATAGGGCTTTAAAGGTTAAAACCAGCACCTTAAACCTGATCCTGTACTCCACCGGGAGCCAGTGCAGCTGGTATAGTACCGGATGAATGTGATCTCGCAGCGAAGACCCCATAAGGAGTCTCGCCGCGGCATTCTGCACCCGCTGGAGTTTCTGGGTCAGTCTCAAGGGCAGCCCCACGTAGAGCGAGTTACAATAATCCAGTCTGGAGGTGACCGTCGCGTGGATCACAGTGGCTAGGTCAGGGCGAGAGAGATAAGGGGCCAACTGCTTAGCTTGGCGGAGATGAAAAAATGCCGCCTTTGTTATAGCTGTAATCTGCGCCTCCATAGAGAGGGAGGTATCGAAGATTACACCCAAACTCTTAACGGACGGTGCTGGCACTAATTGCACCCCGCAAGAGATGGGAGTTGCCCCCAATCCCATATCGTCCCGTCCCAGCCAGAGGACCTCTGTCTTCGAAGGATTTAACTTCAACCGGCTTCCGCGTAACCATCCAGCCACAGCTTCCAAACATCTGGTCAGTGTGTCTGGGGCCGAGTCAGGATGGCCATCCATCAACAGATAGAGTTGGGTGTCATCGGCATACTGATGGCAACCCAGCCCAAAACTCCGGACAAGCTGGGCGAGGGGCGCATAAAGATGTTAAAAGCATCGGGGAGAGTATCGCACCCTGAGGCACTCCACACACCAAGGAGTGGCGGGATGACAATGCCCCCAAGCGCCACCCTCTGTCCCCGACCGGAGAGAAACGAGCGCAGCCATTGAAGGACTGTGCCCTGGATCCCCACGTCGGCAAGGCGGTGGTCCAGGAGTTCGTGATCAACCATGTCGAAGGCTGCTGACAGGTCTAGAAGAATCAGCAGCCCCGACCCGCCTCGATCCAGCTGCCTGCGGAGATCATCTGTTAGGGCGACCAGAGCCGTCTCGGTCCCATGACCAGCGCGGAAGCCAGACTGGAATGGATCCAGAGCCGATGTTTCATCCAGAAACCTACCAAGCTGTTCAGCAACCGCTCTCTCAATCACCTTACCCAGGAATGGAAGATTCGAAACCGGGCGGTAATTGGATAGATCTAAGGGATCTAATGATGTTTTCTTTAAGAGCGGGCGCACCACTGCCTCCTTCAATTCCCCTGGAAATATCCCGGTGCCAAGGGACAAATTGATGATATCTCCCAGGGGGGCCCGCACCTCGTCTGGACACGCTCTAATCAGCCAAGACGGGCACGGGTCAAGAGGACAGGTGGTGGGCTTTCCAGCTCGGAGGAGTCTGTCCACATCGGCTGGGGATATCCGATCAAAGTGGTCCAATACTGGACCCGAGGACAGTCGAGGGGCCTCCAGTTCCTTTATTGTATCCAAATTGGCAGGGAGGTCATGGCGGAGCAACAGGACCTTCTCCGCAAAAAGCTCGCAAATGCCTCACAGCTATGTGTCAGATTGTTATTTAAATTTGGCTGTCCTTCAAGGGACGTTAAAGACCTAATTATACTAAATAATTGCGCCGGGCGAGAGCTAGCGGATGCAATGGAGGCCGAGAAGTAAGACTTCTTAGCGGCCTTCACCGCCATCTCATAGGTTTTCATAAAAACCCTATAAGATGTTCTTGAGGCTCCGTCACGGGCACCCCGCCATACTCGCTCTAGCCGTCTGAGGTCCCGCTTCATTTTCCGAAGCTCCTCGGTAAACCAGGGAGCCCGGTTTCTGCGGAGTCGCAGAGGGCGCTTAGGTGCGATCTCATCTATGGCTGCCAGGAGCTGGGTATTCCAGCCCTCAACAAGCTCAGTCAATGAGTCGCCAGGGGAGCAAGGTCCCGCAAGGCTTGACGGAATCTATCAGGGTCCATCAGCCTCTGCGGGCGAGCCCAAATCGGCTCGCCACCTAAGCAGGGTGGGGGTGGAAAGTCAATCCTGGCTTTCAGAGCGTAGTGATCAGACCATGGCACCTTAATTGAAGGAGACATGATCACATCTATACCTACGCCAAAGATCAAATCCAGCGTGTGGCCTGCTTGATGTGTGGGGCCTGAAACAAACTGGGAGAGCCCTAGTGTTGCCATGGAAGACACCAGGTCCAGAGCCTGTGAGGAGGGAGTGGCATCAGCATGGATGTTGAAGTCCCCCAATACCAATAGGTTAGGGAACTCCAAGGCCCAGCCGGCCACCGCCTCCAGTAGGCCTGACAGGGTGGCTGCTGGTGCGCTAGGTGGCCGGTACACCAGCCAGACAGCCAAGCTCACCTCAGAGCCCCACACTAGGCCAACACATTCAATGCCGGGGATCGATGGCGATGGTAGAGCCCTGAAAGGACAATCTTCCCGGATTAATAATGCCACCGCTCCCCCGGCCCACAGTCCGTGACTGGTGGAGGACGGAGAAACCCGGGGCGCCATCTCTCGTAAGGTAACTGTTGCCCCTTCGCGTACCCAGGTCTCCGTCACACAAGCCAGGTCAACCCCCTGCGAGGTAAAGAAATCTCGCAGAGTGGCGGTTTTGTTGCCTATAGACCTGGCATTGCACAACACCAGTGACGGAGGTGAGTAATCCTTGCTCACCCTACCCTCGTCCCTCGGGATGGGGCGCAGATTGGAAGGGGTACGAGCATATCCGTATCTCGATCCCCTTCGCCTATAACATCTGCCCCCACCACCATACCTCCCTCGCCCTCCACGGTAGCAATCCCAAGCCTCATACAAGCCTCCATTTACAAAATAGAAAACCAAGCCAAACTGAAAACAATTCTACCTAAGCAAAACCAATCCCCACCCCAAACCACAATAAAACAGAACAAAATAAAAATACATAGATAAAAACCACTGTTCACGGTGGTACAATAACGTAAGAAGTAAAAACACCTTTAAAATACTTTAAAATATATAAAAACATTTTTAACAATTGCTGCGGCAGCACCAGTGTCCTTAAAACTGTAGCGGAGGTGAGTCTGGGCCCCGCCCCTAGGCCAGGTGGAATCAGCCTGAAGAGGGAGCGGCCTTCCCCAACACTCACGGTGCAGCAGCAGCGATGTCCCAAAGCCTCAGTGAGGCTTCTTAAAGCTGTGGCGAAGGTGAGTCTGGGCCCCGCCCCTAGGCCTGGTGGAATCAGCCTGAAGAGGGAGCGGCCTTCCCCAACACTCACGGTGCAGCAGCAGCGATGTCCCAATGCCTCAGTGTTGCTTCTTAACGCTGTGGCGATTGTGAGTCAGGGCCCCGCCCCTAGGCCTGGTGGAATCAGCCTGAAGAGGGAGCGGCCTTCCCCAACACTCACGGTGCAGCAGCAGCGATGTCCCAAAGCCTCAGTGAGGCTTCTTAAAGCTGTGGCGAAGGTGAGTCTGGGCCCCGCCCCCTAGGCCAGGTGGAATCAGCCTGAAGAGGGAGCGGCCTTCCCCAACACTCACGGTGCAGCAGCAGCCTTTCATCTTGCTTTCATCAGATAAAATATACTGGAGGGTTCAAGTGGAAACTGCACCAAATGCTGCAGTGTGCAGTGTTCTTGTTCACTCTCCCAGTCTGTCAGCCATTCTTTCCTACACAATACTCCATTGCAACCCCCTTGCCCACCCCACCCAGTCATTCAGCATTATGTGGCCACTGAGCAGACTCAGTCTACATCAGGCTGCTTTGGTTCCTCTCCCTTCACCTTAGAGGTTTCCTCCCCTTTTCTTTTCTGTATGCAGCTTCCAATCATCCTGTCTAAGGCAGTTCTGCTTCCTCCATTCCTGGAAGAACAGGCACAAAGGGAAAGAAAGGTGAGCCAAAGCCAGATCTCTACAACACAGGGATGATGGGAATTGCAGTCACATAGCCTCTTAACTGTAGGCCATACAGATTCATATCATTTGATGGACAATGTAGGAATTCACAACTTCCTAAAGCCAATCAGACACCTCCTGGGATGAATGTTATTAAGCAACATGGGCAGTGGTTGAGCATGCTAGTTGTAGGTCAACACTCTCCTAGTGCCTAACAGCATCTTCAGGCGGCAGTAAATGAGGCTCATTCAAGCAATAGCAGCAAAAATGGATAAGGAGATAATAATAATAATAATAATAATAATAATAATAATAATAATTTATTTATATCCTGCCCTCCCCAGCCGAAGCCAGGCTCAGGGTGGCTAACAACACTAAAATAGTGCAACATTATAAAAACATTATAAAAATTAATTAAAATGTTTTTAGATAGACAGACCATTAGTGCACCTAGCTCAGTATTGTCTACACTGACCACCACCAGCTCTTCATGATTTCACAGGAAGGATACATTTCTCAGCCTGAGGATGCCAGGGATTGAATGTGGGAACTTCTGCATACAGGGCAGATGCTCTACCACTAAGCTTTGGCGCATCTCCCAGGATGTCCTGTGATAGTGCTGTACCCAACATGGAATCCACATCTAAGAAGATCTGAGCAATTTTTTTCAGAAAAATGCTTAGCAAATGAGTCACAGATTGTCGCTAGAGTTTCAGAATATGCCTTACTACAACAGTTCCATTGTTTGGCACTGCATAGCATCTCCAACATATGCAATATCACCAGCTGATAAGCTGACAAGCATATCTGCAGAATTCAGCATTACTTTACAATGTAAGCTGCAATCATTTTCTCAGACCTCATTTTGCCCTATGCTACTGCTGATGATCTGAAGAATCATAAGCATCTCCTTCTTGACTAATTGATAAACTTCAGAGGACCACCATGAAAGTGGCAGCCAGTTTTGATGAGGGACAGCTAGATTGTTCTTGGTCTTGGATAACAGATGTTTCTGAGAAATGTACCAGGATGGTTGATGGAGAAGATAATGATACTTGGAAAAGCAGACGGCATAGCAGATGTTGTTGCTTAGTAGGAGCAGGGATCTGGCAGTATGAGAATCAAAGCGAGTTCCCCCTTGTGCCTGATATCTAATAAACAAGAATGGCACACAAAAAAGGACAGGGCTTGTATTGCTGGTGGGGAAATTGTGCCATTCAGCCTTGCCATATTTCCCCAATTAAATGCCCACACACCCTATTGGCCTTCTTCCTGCAACCAGATCAACCAGATTAATAAATCTATCAAATGCTTTGAGAAAGGTAGTTCAGAAGTGGCTCATTCCCTGGAGATTTTCAAACGAAAAAGAGTATATGGCCACAGAATGGAAAGAATATGAAGGAGAGATAGAATTTCTCTCCTTAGAATGACATAAGACCTTATTCTGCCAACATTATCTCTGGGCATGAAATGCCATGTCAATGACAGCAATTGACAAAAGAAAAAGAACAGAATTCAAACAACCCTGCCACTATATATTATGGAAGGCCAAAAAAAATGAGAAAGTTATTCCCATTGTGAGAAACTTCATTTCAAATAGCAAAGGGCAGCACGTGTTTATACTCTAAAATAAAACTGCAAGCCAAAGGAATACTAATCAAAATTGTGCTTTTAAACATTTACATATATCTGCATCCAGATAGTCAGGTTTCTTATATCAGTTCTTGCTTAAGCAATAATCAACCACTTGAATGGAAATTGCGATCAGGTAAGCCTCGCCATGCCAGCTGTGCTTCACTGATTTATTCCTTGCCATTCCAACAGTAGCCTATTCATGTCAAGTGCCAAAAATTATAGGCAGGGCTATGGCTAGGAAAGACCACTGGCTGAGCAATTGTGCCATTTGGAAATTAATTTAAAGCAGAGTCTTATGATGTTTTCTTTGCTATAGGATTCTTCCAGGAGCAGAAGCAACCTGGAAAGCTGATTTTAATTATATAGGTTTGAATTCTAAGCTGCATTAAATTAAGGAATTGCACAGAAGGAAGAAATTCTCTACTCCCTACGCCACCTCCATGGTCTCTTGGAGAGACTCTCTGGAGGTCAGGAGCCTCCTGAATAAGATGGGATGGAACTTGAGGGATTGCTTGGGTGGGGTGAAGGGTTAATCACCTCAAGTCAGGCTTGAATCCTAATATACTAACTTAGGAAGTGCATAGGAATTTCCCCTCCACTCTCCATAGCAGCCGTCTCTTATATAAACTTCCTTAATCCAAACCATTGTTTTTTCCAATAATGGTACAGCAAATTTTACTCATATTCTCCCCCAGGTATATTTTCAGCTATTTCACTTGGAAAGAACAGCATACAAACATTCATGAATGGATAAACAGCTCTCCTTCTGCCTTTTCTACTTCCACTGACACAAACAATGGAATTAGTGAAGTGCATGCAAATATGAAGCCAAATTATTCAGCTACTTCCATTAACCCCAAATTTGGTGCCACATCTTGGTGCATCAGATCCTTAGGAATGAAAAGATTTATAATAGTCTAGTAGAGTCAAAGTTCCCCTTTATTATGATGACTTGCAGAAAGATATAAAAACAATCACTGCTGGGTTTTCATTCAGCACAATGTTTGCATGATCATGTTTTGTCTATACAGTATAGCTCGATGTCAATGAGATCTGGAGCACGAACGAAGCAAGCTGCTGCGGCTGTCATACCATGTCCGCTAGTGGTTTCAAAGGTTATGCAGAGGCAGCAATGGTGGAAACGCAGATGAATGTGACTTCTGGTGTAGCTTTCAAGAAGGAGCTCATTAACCTCTCCCTGTGATGAAATGCATGAGCACTTTCCACACCTGGAAATTTTTATCATGGGGAAAAAGCATGATGAGATCCTGCTTCAGATGCTGCACTAGGAACATGACATGTCAATAGCCAATAGATTCTGTGAACAATGTAAGATTCAAGAGAGTTCTGGTTCATCTTGCTGGCCTACTTCACATATCATGGTACGCCGAACTCTGGCTTACCAGGACCACACAAATATGTTGGCATCCCAAAAGTGCCAACTCTCTTTCCTTCGTCCCTGTTCTTTCAGGCCAGGCCAGCATCTAAGCCAAAGTTGACTTAGCATGTTGGCTGCAGCCAGGATCATGGTTAAACTCTCTCAACCATGAGCTGTAGCCAAGCCCCAGCTACAGCTCATGGTTAAGGAGAGGAGCTTAACCTTGATCCCAGGTTCAGATGATACTCTAAACTTTGGCTTAGCTGCTACACCATACTGAGCTAAAAGGACCAAGGAAGAGTCAAGCAGCTGCAGTCTCCTTCCGGGGAGCCTATACATTGATGCTAAGCAATGGTTAAGCTTAGTATTATTACCTGCAAGTGTAGCTACTGGTTACCAGCTCACTGAGAGAACAAATAAGGTGTGTAACATACAGAAAAGACTTTCATGCTTTCCTACCTCTTCATGGGCTCCACCACCTTTACAAAGAATTATAGCAAATGTTGGCATGAACATGATAAAGCAACAGTAGCTAATCAGGCTGATATAATGTAAAACCACTTTTTACAACTCTTTCCCATCCTATTTAATGGCATTTGTTTTGTTAATACAAAGAGGACTGCACTTGTATGTTTACTGGTCCACTAAAGCTACACACACTTCCAAATTTTCATAAAAGGCATACCACAGTACAATTAGAATCTGGACTTAATGTCTTCTGAAATGTGATTTAATCCATTTAAACTTATCTGTCCATTAAGACATGGTGTCCATTTCCTGAAAGCAGTTTTCTTCATTTACGTTTAGAGTCACAAAAACACAAATCAATTTATCTCCTCCTCGATGGATTTTTTTTACCCGAGTCACATCAGATAGTGTATAGACAGAGTAATAAGCAATGGCAGATTCTAAGCGCTGTTATTGTGATGTGAAGTGGATGAAAAGAAGACTTAAAGCCTCTATGTCTGCAATTAATTTTTCTAAGGTATTATATGAATTTGTGGTTGCCAAGCTGCAGAAACCAATACAGTTTCTTCCCTCAAAGACTAATTCCTTTTGAGGCACATATTTTTAAGTATACTTTTTAAACAAGCTGTAGTATGATCCAAGTTGTCATGCACAGTGCATTTGAACCAGTACAGATGCAAACACACACTTTTCAAACTGCAGTTCAAAAGGGGGGGTGCAGCTGAAGCAATAACGATTTCCATAAGCATGTAATATTAAATAGGTCTTGTCTACAAATATAGTTAAAGATGTGAACTGAGTCCACTTCATTATTTTTAAATCTGTTCATTTTAGCGCATTTATCCACATTTTTAAAAGATAGTATCGTCTCTTATTTTCCATAGCAAACCTTTAGATTGTTTTCACAAGGATCACCAAGAATGCCTTTCCTTCTGAGATACATTCAATAGTGGATTTTGTAAATGCCTTACATATGTTTTAATGGTCTGTTACACACCCATAATAGTTTGGATCAGGCCATCAAAATGCTACATAATTTCATATTTGGTCTGGAAAAATGTAGCTACAGTCATACCTCGGGATGAATACGCTTCAGGATAAGTATTTTCGGGTTGCGCTCCGCGGCAACCCGGAAGTAACAGAGCATGTTACTTCCGGGTTTTGCTGCTTGTGCATGCGCAGACGGTCAAAATGACGTCATGCGCATACGCAGAAGTAGCTAAACGTGACCCGCACACGCGCAGACGCACTGTCGTGTCTTATGTTCTGTTCAGGATGCGAATGGGGCTCCGGAACGGATCCCGTTCACATCCCGAGGTACCACTGTTATGTCATAACAGTTGTTTTACATTTTAACATCTCCAGAAAATATTTTCATAATCTAAAGCGTGTCCCCCCCAAAGAGGGCACGTGTTGCTGTGAGACCTGGAAACTGACCTCCTGTGTTGTGGGTGGGTATATTGGACAAGCCACAACACCCGATTGGTAGGTCCTTCATTGCTGGGCTTAATCTGGCCAATGGGGTGCAGTCTAAACGGTTTGAGGGACCTATATATGCCTATGCACGTGACCCAGAGCTTCTTCTTTTGGCTCGTGCATCGGAACAGCTAACAGCATGTCCTCTGCATAGCTGAGAGACTTGCCTTCAACGATCATCTTTGGTGATACCTTTCCGTTATTCCATTTATTCCATTTATTTCATTTCATTTCATTTCATTTATTTATTTATTTATTTCCATTCCCCCTTTATTTTAAGTTGATCCCTTCCCCTTCCCCTTCCCCTTCCGCATCCCTTCTCTTCCTTCGGTGGCTTTGCCCCTTGTGGCTTTAAGCCCCTTGAGCACTCCCGGCTATGGAGCTTGCCAATGCTCCTTTTAATTTCCGCCGACGGGCGCAATTGCAATGGCTTTGTTCTTGGACTTTGGCTGGCTGGCTGTCTATAGCTTGCTTTAAACTGACACACATCTACCATAACTCCATTATTACAGACACCCCTGAGATTATATGCAAAGGCTTCTATGGGAGAGTGTGAGTTCTTGTTACACTTTAAGTGCAGCACTCCTTGTTTTAGAAATTAACCACTAGCTGTACATCCCAGCTGCATTAGAAGTGAACAAATATATTTAGCTTGGCCTACTGCAAGGCAAACACACTCAGAAAGAATAAGAATAGGGATTGTATGTTTGTCAGATTTTGTGCCTATGAACCAGTGCGACTTTTTGGAGAAGGCTTCTATCCATAATCTTCTGCCTCTGGTTAGAACAAACTATGTTTGGCTATCTGGAATCATTTGCCATAAGTGCATTACAGTAATGTTTTAGTACAGAAGGTCCTGCCTCAATACTGTTGCCTGCACCTGAAGATCTTTGTTAGGTACATGTTTGCTTAACGTTTCTCTAACAATGTTGAATATGAAAAATGGGAAACAATTCCCACCCCACCCCCATTACAGTTTGTTCAATAGTTTTTTCTTAAAAGCCTACAACAATCAACAGTGCATTTGATTCAAGCAACAGACTGAAGACTGCTGGATTTAGTTCTTAACACAGAGAAAGCTGAGTTGGCATAATCTTCAAGATAAACTCCTTGAAAAGAGATTTAAAATAATATAAAATGCTACACCTGAAAAAAGTTCCACTCACTAGTGCTATTTTAATACCAGGAATAGAGCCACCCTCTACCCACCCAGATAAAAAAAACACAACTCCCTTTACCGAGGTTAAAAAAAAATGTGATTAGTACAATATGGGATCAATAATATAAGCCGAACCATCCATAAGGCAAGGTGAGACCTCAGGTGGCAGAAAAACAAGAGGCAATGGTCCTCCTACCCCACCACTTCCACCACTACCAGAATGCCATTGAGAGAAAGGCATTCCAGCATGCAACATTGCTTCCCCACTCTCAGGTGGAGAAGCCAAACAACAATGCTTTGTGGGATGCCCTGTGTCCCACAGCTTGGCAAGAGCTGGGGCGTTCCTGCATGCTATGTTGCTGCTCAGTTTCCCAGGAAGTGGTGGGAGGGCAGCAGAAAGGGGTGCATAGTGGCAGGGGTGCAGGAGGCAACAATTCCTGTTTTGCCTCTGGTGGCAAAATGAGAGTGGGTGTCCTGATGCCAGGTACTTAATTATGTCCCTATCATTTTTCAGTAAAAGACATTAAGCAATGGGAATAGTTGTGGCTCAGTGATAGAGCACATGCTTTGAATACAGAAGATCCCAGAGTAAATCCCTGACACCTCCTGGTAGGCATGGGGAAAACCCTCTCTGAAATCCTAAAGAATCACCACCAGTCACTGTAGACAATACTCAGCTAGATCTACCAATGGTCTGACTCAGCCTAAGGCAGCTTATGCTACTTATGCTACTGAGACATGGCAGGTGATCTGTGTTTAGCTTGGTGAATCACATACTGTCTAGGTGGGATGTAAAGATTTGAGGAACCCTTATGCCTGGCAGGCAAGAAGAAAACAGATGATACAACTTTCTCAAACAACTCTAGTACCGTAATATGTTGCAAGATATGCAGAGAATACATCATGGCCAAAAATCTCCATGCAGTATCTCATAAATTATGTGTATACAATCAGTTCCTTAGAATGTAAGAAGGGCCAATGTCCCATCCAATCCAGCAGCCTGTTCTCAAAGAGGCCATCCAAATGCCTATGGGAAACCTGGAAGTAGGACCTAAGCACAAGAGCCCTCCTGTGGTTTCTAGCAACTTGTATTCAGAAGCATTACTACCTCCCACTGTGGATAAGTGTAAAAATATTAGGAAAGCAAGTCTCTTGCTTCCAAGGTAGCTGAATCTTACTGATGCTCCTGAATGTCACTCAATGGAGAATTAACAGAATTCCCACACACAAGCACATAAATTGTATTTGTTAACAAAGATGACAGCCAATTCATTTAAAATTCTATCAGTTTCCCAGCAGGATTAGTCTATGTGTGCTAAAAGGAGCTAACAGAACAGTGACAGCTTATTAGAGGATCCCTCCCTTTCAGACTGTTGTAGTCGTACAAATGGCAAGACATCTTAGTTTGCTACTATTTTTATACAACAAAACAAACATTTATAGTTTTATCATTATCAGAAAGGTCAGGTGCTAACATGAGGCTTTCTTCATAACTTGCTACATGATAAGTAAGGATGCCAACTGCACAAGAAGAAAATGACCCAGGCGGGTTTTGGATACCCAGTTCCTATACAAGAGAGGGGAAAGCCTGGGTCTGTGTGAACACAAGGGGCAGGACAGGAGAGAAACAGAGCAAACTTCATAGGTCTGATCTTAGACCAGAGTGGGAAACATGTGGCCCTTCAGATGTTGCTGGACTCCAACTCCATCAGCCCCAACCATCACAACTGATGGACAGGGATGACAGGAATTGGAGTCACAGCAACACATAGAGGGCCACAAATTCCTGATCCCTCTTAGGTTATCATTCTATAATGAATCTGGATCACGCAATCCATGAGAAATGTTTGGACTAATGTGGCAGCTCTGCTGACCAATAGCTGATGGTGTGGTAGGGCTGGGCTGCTACTTGATCTCTTTCTGGTTGAGTCATGGCTGAATACCAGGAGGGCAAGGCTGCCAAAGCCAACTTGGTGCTCCTGCCAGCACATTTGCACCTCACCAGCATCTTGCCCCTTCCTCTCTCCATCAGGCTGTGGAGCAGCCACTGAGTTAGAAGGAAGTCATGTGAGCAGCAAAGCCCCACATGCTCTCTATTACTGCTGTAACAGGCTTCTTCTCTGCCCCCAGTGCCCTCAAAATCAACCCCAGAGGATTGGGGGACCCTCAGGAACAGATTTGGGGTGGGGAATGAAATGGCAGAAACAGAAGTTGCATTATGAAAGCGGAACTCCTCATGCCATGGTAAATACAACCATTTGTGTTTTCTATGTGCTTGATTCTATGACCACATAATGCATGTGTGTGATTTTCTTTGCCTATGGCTTGACATTTTCCTGAATGATTCACTCTGCATGTGATTTGAGTTCTCTGCCATGGATTCACTGGTGACCTTCACCATTAGCAGAATGGGAACATAATTTTTAGAATGTTCTCTAAATGCTCAGTTCTTAACAGTATGCTGCATATGTGTGTATCATACAGGTAGTATGCAGCTGAGTTCCCCAGCTTGAGTTATTTATTCTGCATGAATGTTTACAGTTCTTGCTTTCTGCATGTGATGCAGATATAGTTTGGGCAGTATAAGGGTCATCTGTGTTAGCCTGATGTGATTTGTGGGTGTATTGCTCAGTGGCAGGTGAAATAGGGCATGTGTTCTTTTTCACACATATCGTAAAAAGCTGTCTGCAGCAGAACAGGAAAAATAGATGTGTTTAGTCTTGCGGTTAGACTGAATCAAAAATAGAAAGCAAGCAGAATAAATGAAAAGGTCAGAGGCACATGATGGGAAGTAAACACCTATGGACTTCCTGGGACACTCATAGACAGTACATGGGTGATATTCAACTAGGTTTTGCTCAGAGTAGGCCCACTGAAATTAGCGAACATGAGTAAGTTAGGTCCATTAATTTCAGTGGGTCTACTCTGAGTAAAACTTTGTTGACTACCACTCCATGTGTCTGACTTCTGGGACAGAGGCCAAATTCACATGTGTAGAAAAGGAGGGGTTTAGAAATACTGCAATTGAGGCACATCACCTTACACGGACTGCACCCCTACACTTATGGACTATGTCAGAACAGTGGTCCAGGCAGACAGATCAGCATCAATATCCCTGCTGTCTTGGAATGTAAGAAATGTCTCTTTTGTTTATTCTTTATATGCTTATGTGCCTTTATTCCCTTAGAGGTTAAACCATAGGCTAAAGGTTAAACTGTAAGGGAGATTAAGCCATAACTTCATTTGTTCTGTTGACACCATAAGTCCAGTGGATGACCAAAAGCTCCACAGACCAGGTGAAAGTGATAAGGAAGTTTAGAAGGAGCTTCCAGATCAAACTTTTAATTAACTAATTAAAAATCCTCCTAAAATTAAAACCCTACATAGGTGACTTAGAAGTGCATACAAGTAGTTGTACAGCTTAGATCAGGGTTTCGCAAACTTGGGTCTCCAGCTGTTTTGGACTACAGTTCTCATCATCCATGACCACTGGTCCTGCTAGCTAGGGATGAAGGGAGTCCAAAAACAGATAGGGACCCAAGTTTTGAAACTCTGCCTTAGATGAACACAGTGGTTTCTGTGGTCACCATGCCATGGGTGTACTAGGCTCCATTTTTTTTTTCTTTTGGGCTATGCCCAGGGTGCACCAGGCTTCATCCCTCAGGTGGGCCTGATGAACTATGCCTGGGTGCCATAACTTTATTTAAGTAGAGTCAAGTTGAGCGCACCAAGACTAAGGCCTCATGCATCAATTACAACGGTTGGCGCAATATACCATTTCTCACAGTGCAGCATGAAAATGTTTTGTTTTGTTTTTAAAATGTTGTATGATAGACATTTAATATTGCAAACGTTTGTGCCTTCAGCCTCACTTCAGAACTTGGAAAGCTATGACTTTCTTAGGCCTGTTTCTGAAAGAGTGTCAAAAACTGTTTGGCTACAATTTTTAGATATATTGTTTATTTTGTAGCGTAATCTTGGAAGAGTGCCATACATTTGCAGACCTTTATACATGTCTACAAAAAGCATTTCAGTGATATCATGGAAGTACTGTTCTACACATTTTGCAGGATGTGTTCATTAGACAGAGTGAGGCAGTCACTTCAGGTGGCAGATGCTGGAGTGACAGATGCCAGAGGGGCAGTAGCAGCCACAAACCCTAAGTCATTCCTCCTGAGCCCCCAGCCAAACCCCTCTGTAAAAAAGATCAGAGCACTGGAAGACACTAAGCCACTGCCATTGTTGAAGTAAGATTCTCCAGTTCAGTGAACTTCTGTACATGGAATAGAGAGTGCCATCTTGTCCTTTGCTTCAGACAGCTAAATGTCATGGGCAAGCCCTGAATATAGTAGTAACTCTGGATTAAACTAGTTCAGACCACATATATTTGACTCCCACTTAAAAAAACAAACGAACACCACTTTACTTGTATTGAGAAAACTAGCACATCAGGTAGTTAATTTCACTGAATGTGTAGAACAGTTCTTTATATAAAGTGTATAAAATCTGGTTTCTGATTTCTAAAACCCTTTCTCCCTGTGAAAGTGGTTTTCATTTTTTCTGCCTCATTCTCAGGGTACTTTATTTAGGAATGGTTGGTGATGTGATGTTGTGGATAAGTGTGAAGTGGATGAGAGTTGTGTATTTCCCCCCCATTAAGCACTTCTCCAGTGCCCTGCAGCCTCTTTAACTACCTGCACATTGAACCAAAAAAGACCCATGGGACGAATTGCTTCATGCTGCCTTCCCCTGAGCTTTAATTGAAGGATGGAAAACTAGAGAAGCCTGCTACTGAATGCCTGAGGTTGGTACACTCACTGATTTTGTTGTTAAGGCAAGCCATTCCTTTCATTTACAGGGTGGGTGGGGAACCTGCAATGATTTTTTTTTTAAAAGTAAAAATGTGTTACTTTAAAAAATATGAACTGCTGTTACACAATAGGAAGCCCCCCCCCCCCCCATTCCTGCAATTGCTAGCAAGCTCAGCCAAGGACATCACAGCTTTTTTTTAAAAAAAAAAAAAGTCTGGAAAGTTATTCCACCACTCCAAAAACATAAAGCCAAAGCTCCTTTTGAGAATGCACCAGTTAGGGATGGAGACACCTGTTGTCTTTGGGGAAAAATGAGAAACAATATTAAATGCAGTTCTCCCCATTTTACACATTTCTGCAGCAATTTGCAATTTTAAAATCCTCATGGAAATTCAGTAGCATTTTAGTATAAATTTCTCCTAATAATTGTGTTTCGTATGAAGCTTTGACTACTATACAAATTTTGTCAAGCGATCTTCCCTAATATAATGCAATATTATGTTATTTCCACTAATACATACAACTTTATGCATGTGCTTCCCTAATATATGTGTATTTTAGTTGGAGAACCATATCACACAATTCAGAGTGCAAATTTCAAAGGCTAGTTGTGTTTTGATTAGCGTAATGGTTTGATGAATATTAATTGGGTAGGTGTTAATTAAAATTAGCACAGCCTTCCCCAACCTGGCTCCAGCTGTTTTGGACAGCTGGAGGTTTGGGGAAGGCTGTGCTAGTCCTTGAATGGGTCTTACTTAAAGTAGCTCTCTGGATCCCAGGCAACACCTGTGGCTGTTACTTGGAATTCATTCAAATCACTAGGATTTACTTCCAAATACACAGGGTTAGTTGAACTTAGATCTTTGTGACTTTCCTGGGGGCTGCTTCAAACATTAGAGAGGGGACAGCACCTCCATGGGAAAAAATACAGGAAAGTCACGTATAGGATCACCACAACTGTTTTTCTTCAAAATATAAAAACTGCATGTGATATGGCTCTAACCTGTGCATCAGCTTGCACATTCCTCATGGCTAGGTACAAAACCAGGGCCAATGCCATCATCAGGCAAAATGAGGTGGCGTCTGAGGCAACAGGTGCTGGCCATCATGAAAGGGCAACAAATTGTACATTATTTAATATGTTGATGTTGTTGTTTTACACGGGAATGGGTGATTTTGATCGTTTGCCCCAGGCACAAAAAAATGTTTTGAGCCACTTCACTAGAAAATTATAACTCTTTAAGATAAAAAATGTCTAGATATGTTTCTTTTCCTTTTTTTTTACAACTACGAAGGCTACTACAATTGGGAACCTTTTGAGCTAGAGCACATAATATCCATCCAAGCAGTCCATTGGAGTCCCCAATCTGGAAGGGCTATAAAATATTTGGTCAAGTAAGGCTTGAACTCCACCTTGATGACAAGTACTTATAACTACAACCGCCTCACTCCAAACTTTGTGGAGACTGGTTTTGTTGCTTGCCCACTGCAAAATTATGGCTTCTCAGGCATCACCACCCTCAGCACCCCATCCCTGAAATTCCAGTCAATTTCTCAATCTGATGTTCCCTGCAGAATAAAAACTTTGTAAGAGATAAAACAGATCGATTTCTCTTTTTGTCAGCTTACTCACTCTGTATAGAATACACTCCTTTGGATTGGTCCAAGACATTTTGCTGCCTGAGGCAAAGGACAAGATGGTGCTCCTCTCCCAATTTCATATGCAGTAGCTGAAAAGCCAGGCACTTGAATTGTGCTTCAACACTAGCAGCTGAATTGCACCCCACACTGCCCCTGAGGACAGCAGGCTAGCTTGGGGAGTGCAGGGCAGGCTAGTTTATGGTGCTCAGAGGAGTCTGAGGCAACCACCTCACTCTGCCTAACAGTAGGACTGGAATTGCTACTCCAGTCTTGTACACCAATACACACAAATGGATATGCATTTTTGAATCAGTCATCCAAGTCCTGTTTCCCCTATGACTAATAGCAGTGACCTCTGGAAGAGAGCTGGAGAGGGATCCAATGTAGAATGTGTACCCTCTCGACTCTTTATTCTGTTTGACATAAAATATGTACTCCCAGCAAAGTTTGTGATTTCCACAGGGACATGCTGTACAGTTTTCAAAATGCATACAGCTGTTGCCCATCAGAAAAGAAAGCATTTTTAAAAAGCATAGTTCTTTTCCCATAGTGAAGAAATAATAAAAGGGCCCTTATAAAGTGTAGTATTTGTTAAGGATCAGTTTGAAGCACACGGTCTAAAAATAGTTTTCTGTAATACAAACTGCTATGAGAGAGTTCATTCCAGGCTAGGATAAAAGACTGATCCATTCATGTTGTGTTTTTTAAGGCCACAACTTACGTACTTAACCATTTTGCACGAACATATTTGTGGTAGGAACATTATTTTCCTTATTTTCCAAATAAACAGAGTATTGTTTACAGAAACTGGTTTTTCACTGACACGAGCTTTGGAAACACACCTTTTCCCCCAAAATAAAGTTCACATGTTGAGTTAGACTTAACAGCAACTTTTTTTTAACACTGAAAAAGCTTGTTCATTTAGAGATAGGAAAGAAGGCTGAGAAAGCTAGAGTGAAACACATGTAGAAACAGAACAAGAAGATATTAATAAAATAAGGTTTCTACAACATAGGAAGCTGCCTTATGCTGAGACAGCCCATTCATCCATATAACTCAGTTCTGTCTACAACGATTGGCAGTGGCTCTCCAGGATTTCTGACGGGTCTCTTTCAGCCCTACCTGGTTGAATCTGAGACCTTCAGCACACAAAGAAGATGCTCTACTACTGAGTAATGGCCTCCTAAAAGCACCTCTTTTTCCATTTTTCCAAATACCTCTTTTTTTGCTCCTATGTACACTTGGGTAGTTAGGTAGTTCTAAAGACTAGTCTAAATGTAATGGTCTTCTTACACTTCTTCTTACATGAGATGTTCTTTAAACAATGTGAAGGGCTGTGAATAGGATGTCGTTAAAGACCAGATCATCAACTAAATCAGGCCAATTCAGACAGATTCAAGCTTGGGCTTGATCAAGTTGAGACAGCCCTGGATCACTCCACCTGGAGCAATCTGGGGAGGTCAAACAGTGGGCCGGTCAGATGGTACGGGGGAGGAAGGAGAGACAGATGGCTTCCATAGGATGTGTTTTGCCAGCATGTTCCCTGCAGTGACCCTGACCATTAGGTCCAGTCGTGACCGACTCTGGGGTTGCGGTGCTCATCTCGCTTTATTGGCCGAGGGAGCCGGCGTACAGCTTCCGGGTCATGTGGCCAGCATGACTAAGCCGCTTCTGGCGAACCAGAGCAGTGCACAGAAACGCTGTTTACCTTCCTGCCGGAGCGGTACCTATTTATCTACTTGCACTTTGACGTGCTTTCGAACTGCTAGGTGGGCAGGAGCTGGGACCGAACAACGGGAGCTCACCCCGTCGCAGGGGTTCGAAACGCCAACCTTCTGATCAGCAAGTCCTAGGCTCTGTGGTTTAACCCACAGTGCCACCTGTGTCCCTCTCCCTGCAGTGAATGTACTGGCAAAGAAGATCCAATCCTGCTCTCTGCAGGGATTTGCTTCACTAGTGCATTCTCCACAAGGAACACACTGTTGGAGCAGCACCCAGCACGAGTGAAGTCTGAGTCCAAGGTTCAGTCGTGCTCTGTGTAGTGTGTTCAGGAGGGAATAAATCTCCATCTTCCTCCACCCCCTCCATCTTCCTCCACCCCCTCCCAACTGTATGTTTAATTAGGAATTTAAAACTCTGATTAAACATGTGGCTGGGAAATGGAGAAGGAGAAACCACAGCATCGTCTTCTCCCTTTCTGCCGCATATTTAACAGGGTTTAAAATCCCAACTGAATTTTAGGGATTCTCTTAAATTGATTTGGGGCCCACATCCAGTTTGGGTCAGTCCCAGATTGGCCTGGGTTTTGTGAGGGCTGACACAAAGTGCCAGATCGAATATAGGGAGACCATGCACAGCCCTAATAATGGAATTACTTCAATTTCTTCAAATTGTGGTAACCCAGCCCTGCTGTGTTTAGGGGCCCTTCTCTTCACTCTGCTGAATGGGACCCTGGGCCTCTGCCTCCAAACCCTGCCCTGATGGCACCACTGTTAAAATGGGGGGGGGGGGTCAGTAATCCAAGAATTCGTGAAAGTAATAGCCATCAATATAACCAGCAACTTACATTGCCTTAGATGTTCTTGAGATGATTTTTACTCAGGCACAATAGCCAAATCTGGTCCACCTGCCCCTCAGAACTTTTCCCAGTTCACAATATCATGGGCCCTTCTTTGCACCTCAAGTATTTTGGCCTGACCAGAAAGTGCCTCTAAACTCTGATAAAGCCTCCTTGTCTGGATGGAGGATAGAGGGAGCACTATACACTATACAGATAAAATTTACATTATTTGCTTCACCACCGTTTGCCTCTGGCCCCACCCACCACTGGTACATAGTCCTCAGAAGGCTGCCCTGAAGGGAATGTGGCCCACAGGCTGAAAAGGGTTCATCACCCCTTCTCTATACAGGTACATGCTTCAGGCTGATGCGGGAATCTCAGAAGTAGAGCAGGGTTAGAATGGACAACCAAGGCCAAAAACATTTCAAGATGCATTGTCTTTACATCACAAAATCCAAGCTGATTTAATCAGTACCTCTTGAGTGAAATATCTGTAGGAATTCCAAGGGAACTTATTTCAGTAAATTTCAGGGTGCACTTGTCTGCACATCTTCTTTGAATGGAGATGTCAATATATTGTGTCCATAATTTCCTCAAAATTATATTTTGCTCTTCTCAGGTGGCCTAATCGGCAAAGAAGTTTCGCAGTCAGTAAGAGTTAATAATTCCAGCTTATTTGGATGCCTTCAAATGGAGAGTTAGAAAAGGAGATGGAAATCTAGAATTAAACTGAAGCCAAATTCCTAAGGCAATAATGATGCAAACTGAGGTGAGGTAGGAAAGATCCTGCAAGGCCAGGGTGGCGAGAGTGCAGTCAGCAACCACTGAGGAGTTATAACAACCCAGCCTTTCTCCCACACACCTACTTGTAAGGAGCAGAGCAGCACCGGTATGTTCCTACGAAATACAAGCTTAGATACACTTGCTGGCTAAAGAGGGGAGCAAGCTCTGAAGCAACAAGGTTGCCCTGACCAAAGTGCTGCATCTTTATCAAGCTTGCTTGGTTCAAGCTTTCATAAACTATCAATTCAGGCTGGAGTGTGGCATGCTGGAAACAAAAACAAGAGGAGACAGAAACTTCCCTGCTGTAGTCACCACTGAAAAAAACAGCTGCTTCTGAGATAGGAGACCAAGAGAAAGAATCTCCTCCAAAAAATAAATAAATAGAGAGCAGCTTTATAGATAAATAATGTTATCTGGCAGCTGGCTGTGAGTCTTCCTATACCTTAACTCTTCCTGGGTCCTTGAGAAGAAGTCTTGTATCTTAGCTTCTCAGAATCACAGTTTCCCACCTTAGCAGTTTCAGGGTTGGAGGCTGTCCTGCAGGGCATAGGTCATTTCCTGACAAATCTTTTATTGAGAATTCACCCTGATTTTGGGGCATCAAGTTTGCAGGGAGGTTAAATGCCATTGGCTATTTATTCTGATCTGTTTCTGGCAGGATTACAGGATGTTGCACCATTCAAATGTTATTCCACACTTTCCACTGCATTTCCCCATCACTTTCCTAATTGCAAAAAGTCTAATTTTGGGGGTGCAGGGAGGATGAGTTTGTTGTTCACTAAAGGAATTTTAATTGCACAACCTGAATCTGCTGGCACATGAATGTCCCTATTTTCAGGTAAGATTCAGTCTCGAAGAACCCTTAGTTTAAGCATCACCTTCTTCTTTTATTACATCCAGGAGATATATATAAGTGATGATTACTCTAGTTTATCCCTTCTAACAGAGGTTATTTCAATTTTTTGCTTCAGGTGCCAGAATGTCTAAGCACCATTCCTAGACATTATGTCCTCATAACGTACCATGCTCTTTACAATAATAATACAGTACATATATTTCTGGCAAAAAAAATTAAAATTAAACAATGTAGTAAAAACAAATTGCATTTGTCTATGTTCAAATTTCTGGTAACCTTACAATTCAGTCATTAACCACTTTAGTAATGACTTCTAAAAAGGAGATGTATAGCTATTGATGTCTTTTTCAGAAACATGTAAGATACAGCCTTCCGGAAAAGATGGATGGCTGGATGGCTGCAACTGGACAGAATACTAAACCAGTTTACCACTACTGTATGCCTGAGTGAGCCACAGGCTCACATGCAGCCATGAAGAGACTAAAAGCTTTCACTTCCATTTTAAACTAACAGCGGTTATTTGTTTTGTCTAAGCCAAGAACTGTGGTTAGGAGAAACCAGGATTATAAACAGTTTGGTCCCTAAACCATGGCTGACACTAAGCATAATGACTAACCATAGTTCGTTAAAAAGAGAAGAAAAACATCTGATGTATATAAACCAAACATTAAAAGCTGTAGAAACTCTTGTCCTAGTTCATGAACTATAGACTGTCTTCCGCAACTCTCTGTTTCAAGTGTGAATTCCACACACTTGAAATTCACCTAGATATGCACATAAAGAATAATTATTAATGTACTATTTTTCTTTCTCTCAATATACAACTGCATTTATAAAATGCAGCCCACCAGCACAGGTACTATTCTGCAAACAACATCCATTTTGCAGGGGTTGTAATTCCTTGGAGAAATTGCAATGAAGTGAATAATGACTGTTCAACAGCAGTGTCTGTTGGAGTGTTAGTCAAAGTATTTAAGTGTAATAGGCAGATTTATGATATAATAATGCATTCATAATGAATGTATTTATTTTTTATTATTTTCTCTCTGTAATGAATGCCCCAGTGTCTCTAGTAATTCTTATTACACTTAATGTGTTTTGTATGCTCTATATCTCCTGAATGCATTTTCATATTTTAAAACCAGGAATGAAAATAATACCTAGTCATTGACACTGATTAGATGAAGCTTATTATCATTAAAAGTTATTTGCAATTCTATTAAACATTCACCCTGCATATAAAGCATTCCATATTGACAATCTTAGCCCAAGGTATAATGATTAAATTACATACTGAAATGGGCCTTATCAGGAACAATTAGTAACATGTAGCAACTTACCAGAGAGTTTAATGGTACAGAAAGGCAGAGAAAAAATACAACCTCCTAGACAGATGCTATGGTAGTCTAGAAGGTGTTCCTGTCCTGAGATAGCAGGTTAGGGAACAGCTGCGTTAAAATGTAATAATCTACCCAGTCAAAATCCCATAATTAAAATACATGGTCAATATCTTCTTTGGAGGGCAAGTACAGACTGTAATTTTCCAGTTGATATTATATGAGAAACTATGGTCTGTGTTAACAGTAACAACACAATCCAGTTAGGTTGGGATAAGAACCACTGATCTCAATGAGACTTACTCCTGAATAAGCATACATAAGATTAAATAACCAAATAATTCTGAGATAGCATGGGGAGGAGTGACCCTGTGAGTCCTCAGCAACTTCTTTGCTCTCCAGATTATTTGGAGAATTGTGTGGGACCATTTCTCTTTAGCAAATGGCCCCCAAACCTGACAAATTTAGCTCACAAACATTCAGAACACCAGCAAAGTTGTTTTTTAAAAAAAGTGTGTGCATGCTTGAGGGACATATGCCCCATTAAGCAAATGCAGCCCATATGTATGATTGCCCTGTGTAGCTGGCTTACTAGAACTGCAAATACAGGGGAAGCTGTCAAGTTATCATCATGACTGGGGAGTAGGTAGAATGACAAGCGACATCTGCTGAAATTCTCAACTCTGCTTAACTATGAAAGGTGCAGGAGTTATGTCATGTCTTCTCTCCCCCCCCCCCCCACATTTGGCCAACCTGCTGGTGGGCTGGTTCAGCTTGGTGGGTCATGAATTGTACAATCCTGTTAGTATATAATCGAGAGCATGATAGACAGTGGTGATGGGGTGGAGGTGGATGAGGAGCTATTGTTGGTGTGTTGCATCCAAGTTCCCAAAATATCCATTTCTCATTATGCAGAAAGACAATTAGTCATCATTTAAAACACACACACACACACACGTTTTTTATAGCAGCAGAGGCAGGCAGAGAGTTCCATTGGTGTTTGGGGAAGAGAAAATACAAGCACTATGAACTGGCATATTATTAGAGAATGGATTTAGGTGAAGTATTTCAATTCCTTAGACAAACAGGTAAAATGAAATACAGTTGCTTGTAAAATGCTTTTGTTAAAACATACAGAAAATATGAGCATTGTCTTTCATATACTGAAGGGACCACTTTTCACCTTTGCACATAAGACTCCCAAAGCTAGAAAAAAATCTACATAGACGGGTGGATACAGTTTGCATTCAAACCTATCAGTCACCAATCAATATCATGCAAATGTACTAATAAAAATAACAAAGGTAGTCTCCACATTGAATTCAGACTACAGAATTAAAGCACAACCTTTGACAGGAGACAGGTATCAGCTGCAATGTTTGCACATGGATCAATTTATGCTGATCTGTTGTGACTGCTAGAAGATGTCAGGATCCGGGTTTTACGTCTTGGGATTTGATGCTGGCCAGAAGTATAACCAAGTCTGAAATAAAATGTTCATATACATCTTTCCAAATACTAGTTTCATGGTATGTCAGGGGTTGCTAACATGGTGCCCAACCAGGGGGAGGGCTGTAGATAGTGGTAGATCACCTGCTTTGCATTCAAAAGATTCCAGGTTCAGTCCCTGGCATCTTCAGTTCAGTTTGGGAAAGATGTCCTGTCTGTAACTCTGGAGAGCTGCTGCCCATCAGCGTAAACAATACTGAGCCAGAATACCAATGGGCCTGACTCTGTATATGGCAGCTTCCTAGGTTCCTATGACAGGAATTGTAATTCAAAACATCTAGATCAGAGGGTGTAACACTGGCAACCCCTATGGTAGGGTTTGGGCTCTCTCTCTTTTTGGGGGGAGGGATTCTGTTGCAGAAGAATTGGGAGATTATCTTGAGGAATTGGGAGGTAATGAAAGACCCAAAAGGGGGATAGAAATTGAATGCTAAATCCCATTTCACTGTCCACCCCAATCTTCTTTTAGCATGCTTCCCCTTCTCCTGGCTTTTCCTCTCGATTAGTACTTTCAGCAGCAGCACGTAGCTCAGTGACTTTTCGCAGAAAGCCAGATGTTTGCAGGGGGTGGACAGAGGAAATAAAGAGAGAGCGTTTAAAAAAATGTCCTGGTACTCTGTCACTGCTAGTGTAGTCTGTTTAAAATCGAGACTCAGCACTGATCAAGCTATTTGCCTTAAAAGGGCAAAATATCTGTGAAAATAAACTTCAGCTGGAAAGACAGGAAAGAAGGGGATGCTGAGGTCTACAGCAACTTAGTCACTATTGTGAATGCCCTACTCCTTCACAAAGAAAATACAAGCTTCCTAGAAACTGAGAACAAACCAGTAAGGACAAAGGGAATGTTATTGGTTACAGAACGACACATGGGATGGTATTATTATTGGGAAGAGCATTGCTGTTATAAATGTGCTGGTGGTATTCCTGTTTGCAGTCTGAATTGTATGGACTTGAGCCTGCTTGATGCAGTTACATAATTTTGGACTTAAAGGTTGCATCCATCGCCGCCATTCCACTTGTGCAACAGCCTTCTGCTTGTGCCATGGAATCTTCCCTTGCCTCTCCCTTGCATAACCTCAGCTCCTGCTCCAGAGGATTCTAAGAGCAGATGGGGATGGGAGGAGCATGTGGAGAGAGAAGAGGAAGGGGAAGTCCCATTGTACAAATGGAATTCTCACACAGTGCTGAATATAATTCAGTGGTCTTACATCCACCAGCTTTAGTAACATGTATTATTTCATTTATTTCAAAAATTGGGAAGTCAGTCTTGCTGCCTTTGGAAGCCCCCCCCCCCCCGGATTTCTGTCCCAAAGTCCTAATGGTTCACACACACATTTTCACAACCTGATCACTGCAACATGAACTGAACAGCTCACATCTGGGTGAACTATCACAAATCACAAGAATGTGTGACGTCCCCACATACTCCATGCTTTCCCATGTAGTACTTCCTTCTCTGATACTATAAATTAAACTGGACTGGAAGAAAAGTATCCCTGGAAGGATGGACTGGGGGTTATGAACAGCAAGCAGGGAAAAGGCTCTGAATGCTTTCTCATT